ATCGAAACCCGGATTCTAGCGTTGTAAGTCCGCAGACATACCGCTGTGCTACTGGGGGGGCGGCTTAGTTGGAGTTTAGGAGCTGAAATTTGTCGCTGTTATAGTTGGAGTGTTGTTTGGTTTTTTGAAGTTAAGCACAATGGGCTATCTGTGCTCTGCCCACCACGGGTATCGAAACCCGGATTCTAGCGTTGTAAGTCCGCAGACATACCGCTGTGCTACTGGGGGGCGGCTTAGTTGGAGTGTAGGAGCTGAAATTTGTCGCTGTTATAGTTGGAGTGTTGTTTGGTTTTTGAAGTTAAGCACAATGGGCTATCTGTGCTCTGCCCACCACGGGTATCGAAACCCGGATTCTAGCGTTGTAAGTCCGCAGACATACTGCTGTGCTACTGGGGGACTTAGTTGGGGTTTAGGAGCTGGAAATTTGTCGCTGTTCTAGTTGGTGTGTAGGAGTTGGGAGAAGAAGCAGACATTTGGATCAGACCCTACTTTCAAGACACCTGTCTCCGGGGTAAATTACTCCAATACATTAATTCTGTTATCTAGAAAGTTGGAGAACCAGTGAATAACACCTAGTGATAGTTTCATTTGTGACAATCGATATTTTAGTCCGTTGTGCCGTACAGAGTCAAATGTTTTCTCTACATCGAGAAAGCAATCGACAGAGCATTCATTTCGGTTAAAACTGTCAACTTGTTTGTCTTTTTGTCCTAAATCCATTGTGCATTTTGGGAAATTTTGATGTCAGTTCGAGATATGCCAACATTTTGAACTGGTGATTTTTTTCTAGTAGCTTTCCAGTACAGCTGTTTAGGTTGATTGGTTTATAGCTTTCTAGTTTACTTGCTGGCTTTTCTTTTTTCAGAAACATTAGAACTTCCAAACAGTCCTTGCATATCCAGATTTTATGGATAGGCTAAACATAGCAGCTAAATGTCCGTACAGTCTCGGTATGCCTTTTTTTGATAAATTTATGTTATATTTTATCACGTTCGGTATGCCTTTTTTTGATAAGCTTATATTATATTTTGTCACGTTCGGTATGCCTTTTTTTTGAGAAGTTTATATTATATTTTATCACGTACGGTATGCCTTTTTTATAAGTTTATATTATATTTTGTCACGTTCGGTATGCCTTTTTTTGATAAATTTATGTTATATTTTATTACGTTCGGTATGCCTTTTTGTTAAATTTATGTTATATTTTATTACGTTCGGTATGCCTTTTTTTATAAGTTTATACTATATTTTATCACGTTCGGTATGCCTTTTTTGATAAGTTTATATTTTGTCACGTTCGGTATGCCTTTTTTTGAGAAGTTTATATTATATTTTATCACGTTCGGTATGCCTTTTTTTGAAAAGTTTATATTATATTTTGTCACGTTCGGTATGCCTTTTTTTTGATAAGTTTATATTATATTTTGTCACGTTCGGTATGCCTTATTTTGTAAAGTTTATATTATATTTTATCACGTTCGGTATGCCTTTTTTTATAAGTTTATATTGATAGATGATCGCTGTCTATATCCTTTCCGACATCAAACGAAATGAACGAGTTTACTATAGAACTAGAACATATACATAGACCTTATATATCAATACTATTACATGCATACCTTGTATGCATTGAGGTATTGTCGTTGAGTAGGATACTGTCAAGTTCCTTTAAGAAATCTTGTAATTTTCTGCCGTTTGTTGTAGTCATGGACACATCCAATACTTCAATTTCACTGTTTAAGTTTCTTGTTATTATGTAGTTATGGTTACAATATCTAAGTTATTTCTTGGAGAGCGATATTGACCAGTGATTGTAAGAGTAGCGTTATTTTCTAAGGTTCGTTCTAGTTATACTTTAAGTTTCAGAGGTATAGTGTGTTTTTATAGGAGGCTAATATGTCCCCTTTTGATGTCTCTTTTGTTTCTCTGTCATGTCTTGAAGTAACGTAGTTGTTTATATTAAATCTGTTATGTTTTTTTCATCAGTGTCTTTGTAATTATTATTATATCCGCTCTGATGCGACTATTAGATCTTCGATCTCATGCCGCTTGAAAGTTAAGCCATCTTGGATGTTGACGTGAAGAATTGTGAGTTTATTCATTGTTTGTGAATAAGTAGGGTGTCATTTTTGATATTATTAGTGATAATATGTGTGCTAGGTGTTCCTTGGTGATGTTTATCATTATTGTCATGAAGTTATCTTTCTGTTTGTGGGTTACTGACTTCTGTGACAAATCGGTATGTTTATCATTATTGTTATGAAGTCATCTTTCTGTTTGTGGGTTACTGACTTCTGTGACAAATCGGTATGTTTATCATTATTGTTATGAAGTCATCTTTCTGTTGTGGGTTACTGACTTCTGTGACAAATCGGTATGTTTATCATTATTGTTATGAAGTTATCTTT